CCCGTTTCTCGACGAGCGTAACGTAAGCCGCGGGAATATCGTACCCGCGGTTGTGCGGACATTACGTCACGCCGCCTCGCTCTCGCGGAGACTGCGCAAAACGGAATGGACACGCGATGTCAGCCCCTAGAAAATTTACGTACGTTTACACCCGTGTTCCTGGACCACTCCTGAATTACATTCAGCACCTCTGCTCCGCTCACTATAATTCAATTCCCGACCAGGTCAGGACGTGCCCATGACAGGCCACGGGTCATTCGCAAATGTGGGGGTCAGCAAAGAGGAGCGACAATATTAGCGCGCGCGCGCACTTACATGCACAGTCACATAACACATATATATATATATATAGAGGTCGCAAGCGGGGAGGAGGTGTCGTTGCTTTTTACGAGCAGCCAACTTCGGAACTGGGCCAAACGCGACCGCGCGCGCCTCACATCCATGGAGGAGCGTGGGGTTCTGAGTCGAATGGAACCCTTGTAACTGATACGCGGGAGAAAAGTTGCATGGCGTGTGCGTACTGCATGTCTTCGATCGAAGGGGATTGTTGTGGATCCTCTGCTTGTGTCCGGATGCCTCGCGAATTCATCGATACAATGTACATTCGCGAGTTTGGTCGGGGGAGGATATACGATATAGGTATGTGCCTCTTGCGCGGATGGGATAACGAATTGCCAACTGTACTTCCGAAGATACATCTCCGTGATGTACAACCCGTCGTGGTACGGGAACTAGCGTTTCCTGACGTGTACATAGTACATACGATGCTGGCGGTGTTTTCCTCACGTCTCCTTCCGGATCACCCAATTCCGCGGCAATCTTCCTACCTCTCCTTGTCCCGACCCGCATATCTATTTATTCTACAATGGTAGGGGAAAATTTGCGCAGTGTCGTCCTAGAAGGGGTAGTTATCGAAATAACAGTGGTAGTCATGGTCAAGACGGTTTATTGTCAATAAACAGTCGTGCGAACGACTTTATAGAAAACCCCTAACGACTAACATGAATGAAAATTACGGATAGAAAGTACTATAGCTAAGCAAAACCGAATAGAACAGAGGGAACGGAATTAGCGGGAAAACGGAACCGCGAGAGGGTTAACGGAGAGAGGGGATGCACAACGAGAAAACGGGGACGATGAGTAGGGGTGGTACCGGGACGGAGCCTGCACGGAGGTTGCTGTCGACGCCCTGCCGCTGCTTCCTGGTTTCCCTATATTGATTTTCCACCGCCCGCGTGAGCTGGAGAGAGACGGAATGGAGCCGAGAAACGTTTCCCCTCTGTGTGCACGTAGATATATGTGTGTGTGTGTGTGTGTGTGCGCGCGCGCGCGCGTGATCCCAGTGCTTGTGAATGCGTGGGTGCGCGCGTGCGCCTGTGTGTGTGCACGCGCGCGCGGAATGGCCCGGGAAAGGGAAACGGATTGGTACCTAGGTGGGATCCGGGGGGCCCGCATGCACAAGGAAGGAAGAGACACCAGGACCAGAGGGTTTTACAGGCGGTGCGAAGGGGACGCGTTTGAGGAGAAGGTGGGGCCACCTTTTGCACCTCCGCCGGCCATGCCGGCGTGGAAAGATGGGCACGATTATTCGACATCAGGGGGTCCACCCCTTTCGTTTCCCTCTGCTCCATTCGCACTATATGTGTGTGTGTGTGTATGTGTATTTTCAGGGGGTCCACCCCTTTCGTTTCCCTCTGCTCCATTCGCACTATATGTGTGTGTGTGTGTGTGTATCTGAATACATCCGTCTGTTCTTTTTTCCTCCTCCCTGTGCCATTTCAGGGGGTCCACCCCTTTCGTTTCCCTCTGCTCCATTCGCACTATATGTGTGTGTGTGTGTGTATCTGAATACATCCGTCTGTTCTTTTTTCCTCCTCCCTGTGCCACGCTGCGTTTGACCAAATAAGTGTCACGGTCGTTTCCTTGCAGAACGGCGAAGGATGCGCTCCACTCGCGTTGCCGTAAATTTCAATATTGGTTCAGGATGGACGAGACGTGTGAAGATTATCATATGCTGCAACAGATTTATTTATATCGCGTATCAACTAAACTGTTACATATGTGCATGATTTATAATTCATTGAGTAACGATCACACTAATATTACGTTTACACAAATTATTCTAAACGCACTGAAATGTGTAGTAAAATCAGAAATCTTCCTACACACAAGTTTGGAGTCGATTTTTTTTCCTAAGATTTTTCTAATCTTACGTTATCGAAAGTTCGCATATTTACTTTCGAGCTTCGCGCATAGCTCGTAGATGTTTCATAGATGTTTTCAGAAGACGGATAGTAGAAATATGAAACATTTATATCTACCAGACGTTCCAAGACGTTTCGTCCACTCGGCGATGCTCCAAGGAGAAGCATTTATTTGCACGAGTAGACATTTCTCTTACACCGTGCTACCGCCCGTTATTTTTCGTTACATTGGCCGTTCTTCTCAATTGGTCACCTTCAAAGGATCTTGGCTCTCTTTCGTTATCATGTCTTGCCCATTTCTTTTCCTCATAACTCCTTGTCTGTTTCTTTTACGAGGTACTACATGCACAAGAAGAAATCAGAGCAAAGAAATTGCTGCGAAAGAAAGACGTACTTATTTGGATTTTGACAAGTATTTTTCAAGCAGCATGGAAAAAGTGTTTTACACTAATTATAAAATGATTTAATCATTCACTATTTAAATTAAACTCAGTAAATGAATCAAAATTATAAATATATTTCATTCGTAACTTTCAATATCATTATACTATTATCTAACATAACAATTTTCGTCACATTTTAAATAATTTATGAACATTTAAGATATAATCTCTCTCTCTCTCCTCTCTCTCTCTCTCTCTCTCTCTCTCTCTCTCTCTCTCTTTGTATGTGTATGTGTGTGTTTAATAGAATTCATAGAAAATTGGCTCGAACGATTAAATAGTGCCTTTGTAATTTATAATTCACTTGAATCTATAAAATGACATGTCGATCAAGATTTATAAACGATTCTGAATATAATATATTAATCTGATCGTAAAGAGACTGGCCCTTTTTCAAACTTTTTTATTGAACCTTCCAAGCGAGAGGAAGTCGACAATTCCGTGGCGTGATGTTCGAAAAAAGGCCGTGTCGGGCTTTATCAAACTTTCGCCGAGAACACGGCTATTCGGCTATACGATAGCCGAAATAAAGGAAGGAAAATGGATGTGCATTAAGGGTGTGGCGACGGCGGGGATGGACTTTTGAATACATCCCTGCTTTAACTGCACTCCCCGATTCGTTACAAGTGGCCTATTACAGGTCTTTCTCTAGCCAGTCTTTTATCCCTGCACTTTCTTTCCTGCTGCTTGCAGGGGTGGCATGCTTCTTTCTAGCAGATACTTCCTTCCACCACCAGGAACATTACTTCTCTTATCGTTTTTCAAGTTCTTCGCTTCACTTGTCCTCCTCCCCGGGAGCGCTGCTGGTTTACGCGATATTCCATCCAGTACATTCGCGCTCACCACTAGAAAGCTTTTTCCTAACCAAAAGTAAGCATCTTATCTCTTGAAATGGCTCGCGACGGAAATTGAAAACTCCAAAATTCATAGTTTCATGCACGACTTTTTATATATTATAGCAAAAACGTTCTCCATTTTTGTCTCGGCTAAGACAATCGTGGAGGCTCACGAGTACCGCTCGAAATTAAGTGAAGTAGGTAAACATTTCGTCGTAACGTATTTGGAAATTAATATTTACAGACTTGAGAAAAACCAAATTTTAGATTTAGATATCGCGTACTTAGGATATGCGTAATTCTGAAATATTTTATAAACTATAATAATTTATGACAGCATATTTTTTATACTGAATCAAAAATGTACATAAACACAATAAAAATGTTCATTATATTAATAAAAAATTTATTAAAATTGATCCAATGAATTTCATTTTCTTCTGCACAATTTAAGTTTTATAAAAAAGATGAATATGTGTGAGTTATAAAACTATTATTAGAATTTATTATAACAATGAATATTACACTGAAATAATCTGCCATGGATTTAGTATAATAATGAAAAAAATATTTTCTTTAATACATATAATAAATTCGATTATTGACCTAATGTGACTTTATTAACTAATAAAACAATACATTAATATGATGAATGTATTTTATCACTTTTATAAAATTTTATAATACGACGCATGTAATGAATGAGTTTATTGAATCTATGAACGCGTTCACTAGAAGAACGATTTTTTTTTCATCAATTTAATTAAATGTGTTACATTAATACATTAAAATATATTCAAGTACAGTAAATTAAAACTAGTGATTTGTATTATATTAATAAATCCAGTTTTTTATCAGCTAATAATATATACTGAATGTAATATATCCATAATATTTATCAAAAGTTCATTATATTAATGAATTTCAAGTCAATAAACGTCATTCATTGATATTACGAACAATATTTTTTTCAGTGTACCTGTCTGATAATTATTTTATATATTAATGTTAAAAAACAGCGTGTACCTACCCGTAAGACATAATAATGCGTTAATAATGAAGTTATAGTGGGTTTCCTATATTCATTTTCTTTTTCAGGGTATCCGGAGGAGAAATTATCGACATCCGGAATAATTATAAGCGTCCGTTAATTTGAGAAGTTCTAAATATTTTACTTTGAGTTCTCTCGCGCTATCCTGTATTAATCCCGATTTACAATAAACGTAATAAAACTTCCATAAAAAATTGACCAATCACAGTCGAACATGAGAAAAATAATCTGTTAAGCAATTTCTCACGTTACTACTAATTAGCAATTAGGTATAAAATAATTGTTCATTGACCATTCTGATTAATTTTATTAATCTACATTGCATTTTTGTATGCATTCGGAGTTGCAAGAAAAATGTCCGGCAGTTTTTTTTATTTATAAGTTCTAGTTTTGAAATTTTTGACATGGCAATTTTATATAGAAACCGTTACGAGTAAAAGATTTATAATGTCTCGATATTTTCTAGGATCGTATGACGGCTAATGGAAACTCACCGTTGGACAACATGAGGACTTTGGAACACTATCTGAGCGACATTATGCGAGCCGGTGCAGCGGACACCCCAGAACATCTGAAAGGTATGTCTCTCATCTCTTTATAAGCTGTGTGTAATTGAGACGATGTATAACGAGCGTGCAATATCTGTGAAAGTAGCGGTTCGCATGTTAACACCAGTTAAGCCAGAAACATGGAAAATCCCTCTTAAAGTCTTGCGTCGTAATTGCACAGAGCTCTGTTCTCTTTCGCATTTACAACGGCTGAGAATGCGTTAACAATTCCATGAAATATCTTACGCGAGAGCATTATACTCTCACAAAGCTTCTACATACTATAGCTTTATCTGCCTCGAATCTGTAACTCGAATTTGATATGTCAAATACGGCATGGTGTCGTGAATAATTAAAATACAAATTTTTAACTTTAACTGCTTAGAAAAAGAACGAATAGAGTACTATAGTAACAATTTTAAGAGACGAATGTAGATTTATTAAATATACAATAATATTAATTTATAAATGTACGTTAATCGTTTACCATTATAAATGCGCGATAAATATAGTCACAGAAAAAGTAGGACAACATAGGAAAAATTGTGTCTGTGTTACTGAACTTTACGCATTCTAAAATAGAATAGGACCTCTCTCTATTGTAGATCTCTTTCGAGTAATTCGACAGAAGATATAAAGCGACGTAAAGTTGGCTGATTGCCACTAGATTTCATATCATTGCGCGATAACGTGACAATAGCGGAAGGAAGTACGAATCTCAATGAGTTTATGGATAAATTAGGAAAGACTAGTATTTTATGACGTATCGCTCCGGTTTGTTTCTCGCTATCGACTTGTAGATTCCAATTATATGACGCATATCGTAAAATATAGTGTCCACTAGCTACGACTTCTTTATGTTGACGTAGCACGACGTTCGTGATCGTACTCCGCTATATATATTCCGCACATCGATCTTCAGTCGTAACGTTGCATTTAATGCACCGTTTGATTACGTCGCTTCGAGTCTACGTCTATTACACCAGGAGTGCACTCGAGGTCGATCGCCCCGATATGAACCCGCGTAAACGTGAGATATAACGATGCCATTGAAACTGAAGAGCAATTAATGCGCGAAACCGAGTATGGAAACTATATGAAAATATTTCCTAGTGTTATTCAGCATTCTGCAAAATTTTAATCCTATTACAAATTTATTTGTAATATTTGTGATAACGTAGCCAATCAGAATATGTATATACGATGATTATGTACAAATGCTGAAGAAATGTGTCCATTTCAATCGATCTATTACACGAACGTTGTTCGTGAATTACTGTTATGTCATGACACTAGCAGCGATCTTTACATGAATGAGCCTCTTACGGTGTAGAACCGGGAGGGACCAATCGAACAACCAACCCAACCCCGAATGATCACTCGACACACCGTCGGAGCACTCTGCACCCTCCACTCGACGCGTTCTACTCACTTTACGTTGGCACGTAGAGAGACGACGCCGTGCAACTATGCGGTGCGTATGTACATGCGGACGGACGGATGCATATCGTATTGAGAAGAGCGAGAGAGTGAAAGCTGTGGAGGTAGGACGACATGCGTCTCGTCTGCATCGTTCCTCCTCTACCCCTTTCGCTTCTCATTTTCTATTTTGTGCTCTTGTCTGCCGGAAGAGAAAGAGAAGAAGAAAGGAAGGAAGAGAGAGAGAAAGAGAGAGAGAGAGAGAGAGAGAGAGAGAGAGAGAGAGAGAGAGAGAGAGAGAGCGAGCCAACAAACCCCTCAGACGAGCGTTCTCGTGCTCTGTAGTCAAGGGCAAGGGTGCTGTCGCCGAGTCTACCGTGTCGGGCAGTTTCCGTACGACGAAGCCATACAACAATCAGAAGAGAGAGAGAGAGAGAGAGAGTGAGAGAGAGGATAAACGGGATCGGGGGTTGGACACTTTGGCGCGAAAAATCTCGGATTTTTTTCCTAGCGAACTTCAAACGAACCCATCTACTTGATCCCGAAAGGGTTCGTCGTATATAGTCGCGAAAGTCTTCTTTACCTCAAAGAAACGGACGACGACGGTGTAAATAGAAGAGCGCTGAGTTTAGCGGAATGTCTATAGTCCGGCATCGTTGAGATTTATCGATCGCACCGTAATTCTAGGGTAGACAATGTGAGCGCTAAGAAAGTATAATAGCTACCATTGACGGGTGACAAAGAGAGTAATCTGAATTAGGTAGATGTATGATAATCGAATATCCGTGTTCCATTGCGGATGCATGGTGCATTCGCACTGAATTTGCTGGGAGTATTCAGTGGAAAATTAGAACGATATGATAGAGCACTAATATACTCCTTCATAATCGGAATTATTTCTTTTCATATTTAATGAGAATACTCTTGTAAGTAATGTAAGAGAAAGGTTTCTCTTGTTTGAAAAATTATGTTGGCTTATATTCATTTCTCTCAATTATTCTTTTCTATTGTAACGATAATAATTCTGATTCATTATATTCTGTCTTTCAAAGCTAAAGTTATTTTTAAATTATATCGTACTATCGATTGAGGAAGCGCAGTGAAAGGGACATAACTTTTGGCACGTTCAGAAGATCGACATCTTCATTGTTTCATATAATTATCTTGAAAATTGTTAGAATGACGTCAGACATCTTCGTGGCAAGGTTCTTTTGTTTTAATCCACCGCGTGCCTCTACTGCAATTAAAATCTGATTTGTTGGAAAACAAAGTTAAATAACGATGCAGTACGTAAGTGATACCACGTCGATAGCAACGAGGAGTGTCAACCTCTCACGAAAAAGAAGGATGTGCAGAAGAAGATAAGCGGCAACACTTAAGAGAGCAGATGAAAGACAGAAAAAGTGATTGATGAGGATATTGACTTATACAGGAATGATTATGTACACAATATATGTATATGAAGATTTTGTATTTTCTATATAAATATCAATTTCTTTTTTTAATTTAAAAAAAAAAAAAATTCTTCATAAAACCGGATAGACAAGATTATTATTGTTACAGCGTTTGTTCAAAATTAATAAGTACTTAAAAATATCGTGTAGAAAACACATCCAAAAAAAGATATTCTACTGTTTAGCACTTTCGTGTTAATATGAGAGGATTTTCCATTTACGTACGAAAAAGATATTCTGCAAAGTAGAGAAATTTTGTACAACCATAAAGTACTGGATTTAAAGATTTTACAATTTTTAATGCTAGAAAAATGTCTTGCATATACTAACATTTACACTTTTCTATACACGGTAGCACATGAATGACAAACTTTTTCTAACAATTAAGAGTATAGCTTATATTAGAGTTACAATAGAATTTTTTATAGAGAAATGTATTTTTGATCATAGCTCATGTTGATCATAGATCATAGTCTCCGTTTTTATAGATGAATACATATTATAAATACACGTGCCTGATTCATGTAAGATTTTTTGTTTAGAAAAAATGTTAAGAGGAATTTTCTGCTTATCGGTAGAATATCTTTTTCTGGGTGTTCTCTCAAAATAATGACATATTGAGATCGGGAAAAAGTTCTTTTACATTGTGAAGTAAAAGGACGTTTTTGATAAAAGGACCCTTCCCAAACCCATCATTTGTTGCGAAATTTTTGTTGCAATTACATCATACGATAGATCAAAGTTTCAGTTTTAAGAATCTGTTTTTTTTAAATTGTGGTATGATGATTTTTAACGGAATTATGAACAATCAAAATCAGAATGCTTCTTTATTCGCGAATAACTCAGGAACAAAAAATCGTAGGAACATTTTTAAAATATGATTTTGAAGGAAAAACTTTAAAGCTTTCACGATAGTCGAAAATTTTCACAAATTTGTTTTGGGCACGTGAGAGGCCCACAAAGTGTAAAGAAAATTTTTCATCTCTTTTAGCTTGTAGTCTTTTATATGTAAAAATTACCAAACGCACGGAAAAATTCAAAAAATATTTTTGAAAAAGTAGAGATTTTAAGCTTTATATAAAAAATCCTTATTTTTTTAAATTTAAATTTCGTTTACTTTTAACAAAGATATATTGTAAAGATTCTTTTACATATATGAGAAAAGACTTTCCCCAATAGAATAACTCAGATTTATTATAATAGAGTTCGAATTATTATCTGACTTTTTAAATAAAAATATTCGAAGAATATATAGGCTCTTTAAACATCAAGAAGAATTTAGAAATAAATTCACCTCACGGCAACTTGCGTGGAAATACGAGTAATCGAATTCAAGTATCGTCCATCATGGATTATAAAGTTTCAAATTCTCAAAGTTTATCGGCACGTCCGGTTTCCGGTACGTCTATTAGGAGAAAAACTTTACTGAACTTTTGTGGTAGAGCCAGATGTGGTGAATCGTTCGTTTTTCTGCGAAGATGATTACGCGAACGAGCTGACCAAGGTTTACACCCGGATTTTCTAAAAACTTGACCTACTATCATAGTGCTAAAATGGCACGACGACATTTTTCGAGATGGTATCGCGGCGACAAGTACGTCTACTCAGCACTGCTTCACACACAATGGCTCTAAGAAGAGAGCCTTTTGCTAAAAGAAAAAGCTATTCTGGCTTCAAAGTTAGCTTCGTTCGCGCCCTTTTCACTTCGAACTTTCGAAAGTGTGAAAAATGACACTTTAAATTTCGAATCTATCTTAGATAACGTCCTTCTTTTCTTAACTACAACTATCTAGGAAAATTAATAAAACGAAAGATTTAAAGTAGTTAAATAAAAATAATATTTAAATGCCTGCGTAACAACAGACACAGGTATATACATTATTGACATACAAAGATAGTTCGAAAAGCTCTCAACCTTATAAAGAAAATACATGATATTTTAGCAAAGTTTTTTTTTATTTTTCAAGATAGTTCCCTTTCAGCTCAATATATACACTTATTACAATGATATTCTAACCTTTTTATACCATCGTCGGTGATTTCTTTAAACCTTCAAAGTAGGCTTTAGTTTCATCGATTACTTCAGTATTTGAGACAGATCTTTTTCTTGCCAACCACTTCTTTATGTTTGGAAAGAGAAAAAAGTCATTGGAGACT